GAAAGAGACTGACACAAACATTATGAAAGAATGTGAACTCAACTCAGAAATGTTTTTAAGGAATTTGTCTTTTCCATTTATGTGGATGTTGGCAGTCTCTGTCTGTTTGTCAGAGGCCCTATGCCCTCAGTGAAGCAGCCTGAACTCAATGGAGTTTCTTACTGATTTTGTACCCCGTCTTTGACAAGAAGCCAAAAAGTGATCTGATGTCTAATGTGATGACAAGACCAAAAAGTGGTTTTGGCAGCGTGAAGTTTAAAATTGCATATGTCATGCATCAGACAACAATGAAATATTTATTTATTGCTTAAGTATCAATATCAATAATGTTGGTAAATATGTCATCAGCAGTTAGCAAGGTATGTATTGGTGACATACAAGACTACTTAGATCCTTTTCAACTTTTGTGCCTTAGATTTGAAAAGCCAAATGAATAATAAATTGGCAAGCAGCTATTTGATAACTGTATAGTGAAAAACAGCCTTCACACTACAGATTATATAGGTACATGTATATATAGAGCGAGCTAAGAATACTGTCCCCAGCTGTCACAGGTCTGCTAATCTGTGAGGCTTCTTCCTCAAGCTGGGCTTTTTTCACCTTCACAGAAGGAAAGATGGCCATATTGCTTTAATGAAACCGGCCATTACTTTATCAAGTCTTTATCAAGACAAAACCAAAAAGACTTTACAGAAACAGCTGCAATAATAAAACCACAAAGAGCAAAATATATCTCCACATCTTCCAAAACTACCCTTTAGTAATTTCTACCACAGCATCATAAAGATGCCTGGGTGTTTTTGAAATGCATGATTTTCATCAGAGCTGAATGAGAGATTAATAAAAAATAAATATCTGAGGGATGTTGTCCCTTCTTTATTTGTGAATAAATGACTTTTCTTTTTTGCCAGCCAATGATTTTTTTTACTCGCTTCCATCGATAGGTATTGGACTACAGCTTGTTTGGAAACTTTCAGATTAGTAGTAAAGTGGCCCGGTATTCTGTCCATTGATTGTTGTAAATCCATTTTGCGCGTCCATTTTGCCTGAAAACACAAGCCCTACTCTTCTGCCAAAGATCTTAGTATATCTTCATGTTAACGAGCTCAAAAGGTGTTGCTTGCTGATTTTCTGTGACACCGTTATTTTTACCATGATAATGCCTAGGCATCTCAGTCAGGGTGATGGGATCCTATAAACACAGGATTTTCATTTTCCGAAGAGGTTATCCCTGTAAAAATCAGTTCCTCGTTGACCGTTTGTGCTATCTCACTCACGGCTGCATGGTCTTTTAAAGGCAAGAGGCCCAATTGCCCCTAACCCATGGAGGGGGAAAGAGAGCCACCCCACAGGGGACAATTCAGAGCACCCAAGTCAGACACGGGAATGACACCCTCGGGGAAGGAGACTGAGGACAAAAGGTGGCTGCCTATGGACTGAGTCACCTGAGCCAAATCCCTGCAACCTGGCATTGTGACTACTTCTGAGCTGTCCAAGTCACAAACCCACAGTGCAGCTAGATGAGGGGGAGCCACGGGGAGGCCACGGCAAACACAGAAATGCACGTCAACTAGAAAATACATGTGAAAAACAAAAATCTTGTCTAGTTTGAAATAACGTGGGATGGGTAAGAAGAAATAGGAGAGTTAACATGGAAGTGGAAATTGAATACATGTAGGAGGTGAAATTAAGAAGTTTGTATTATTGATTAGCACAACAAAGGATCAACAAGGAACAAGTGTAAGCTATCGAAATAATCCTGACACTTTTCTGCTGTGAATTCAAAAGCTAATTGTTGATCCTAATTCACAAATCTGCGTTATTTCTATTGACAGAATATTGAACCTTATCCCTGTGGTCTCTGTAATCCTAGACAGAGTGCTGGAACCCGTCAAATAACAAACATAAAGCTGAAAGGCAACACACAGGTGGACAAATAGCATTACCGATAAAGCCGAACGTTTAAAGCAGTACTTACATTCTATCCAAACAGGTGTTGACATCTTCATCTTTTTCATAGTCCTTGCACAGCTGGGCTACCAAAGCCCCGTACGTGAGTACAAAAAGTTCTCTGCTCTGCCAGAAAAGGTGGAAATTGAAAATTAAGCAAACTATAATCAAACTTTTCCATGCTTTTGAGCTGCTACTGTATTCAAAGCAAGGAAAAACAACATTTGCATTAACGAAGAAACTTTTGTCCATGGATGTGTAATCACTGAAATCCACAATTCAAGTGTGACAAAACCCGAACTGATCATCACTTGAGTCTCTGTACAGGGATTTTTCTTGTCAGGAATACCATTTCTTGGCATGTGGCTACTTTCATCCGGTGCATTTTTGCACCCTATAGCTGCACATATGTATGCTGGATTGGTAAATGCTGTCAAACGCCATCCAAGATAAATGGCAAGCATTTAGTTGCAGGAAGAATAACAGAGGCAAAGAGGTATTAGTCCTTTTACAATAGGAACAACAGTATATACACAGAAATTCCAGTGCCTTCACAAAGGTATGGTTGATCTGATTCAGATCATCAACTGCTTTCCCAAAAAACTAAAAAGAAGATAAAAAAATTAGCTCAGAGTAATGAAAAAAACCCATAATTCAGCTCCACCACATGATGGAGGGGATGGGTGAGGATTACAGCCGCCTGCCCAAGGAGCACGGAGAGCAACTGAAGAGGTCCAAGGCATATCTCTGCACAGATCCTGTTACAAGCACTCGTCGGGGATCTTCAGCTGTGCACCAAGCTGGAGGAAAGTTTTCTTCCCTCCGTGCCCTGCTAGATCACCTCCACATCACTGCAGAATTGGCTGTATTTAGCAGGGGTAGCAGCTGGCCTTTAGGCAAGAGACTAGGTTTACTCTCACTAAACTTCTTGGACAGGAATTAATTAAAGGAAGTGCCACAGGCTTGTGGCATGTGGGCAGACTAGAGGTGCTTTTTCTTTGTAGCCTGTGAAAAAATAATAGTGAATACCAGTGAAAACAACAGAACAAGTCACACAAGGAAAGGAAGAACGGCTTGCTGGAAAGACCTCTTCCTGCTCCCTTTGCATCAAAAGCTTGGAGTTTAATCAGTGTTCCCATTTTAACAAGTCACTGTTCAAAATCTTAAGTAGCATGGAACCATTTCCTAAACTCCCCTTGGTGATAACTCCAGTTTGCAATAGTACTGCACACTTTGCCAAATTCTTGTTAACAAGTTTTTAATGGAATAGGAGGAAGTCATACAGGTTCTGTATTGTTCTGGTCTCAGCAAAAAGTCTGTGTTGTAAAAAAAAAAACACCTTAGAGAAACTTAAGCATACTGTGTCAACATAATTGTGTTTATCAGCCACTTTGCAATCCTTTGGAGAGAGTTGGGCAGAGAGGAACCTGATGAAGTTCAACAAGGGCAAGTGTCGGGTGGTGCACCTGGGGAGGTTTAACCCCATGCACCAGGACAGGGTGGGGGCTGACTTTCTGGGAAGCAGCTCTGCAAAGAGGGACCTGGGAGTCCTGGTGGATGACAAGCTGATCATGAGCCAGCAGGGTACCCTTGTTGCCAAGAAGGCCAATGGCATCCTGGGGTGCATTAAGAGGAGCGTGGCCAGCAGGTCAAGGGAGGTTATCCTCCCCCTCTACTCTGCCCTGGTGAGACCTCATCTGGAGTACTGCATCCAGTTCTGGGCT